CATTAAAGGTAGCCATGAATTCAGTGCTTTCAGTCATGCTCTAGTCAAGAAAGGGGGTAAATCATGTTCTCTTCTTTGCTCCCATTGATGTCTATTGTTATTATTTATTGGAGGAAAGGGAGCGCTGGGTGGTGCCTGGTGACTGAAACTTTGTTGCTCAGTGTAATGGACTGGATTATTGGCTGGCCTCGTGTTCCTAGGTGGTGGGTGATACCGGTTGCAAGAGGGGTGTTGCCTACATTGCCTGCTGAAATGACCTTCCTGTCTGCACCTATAACAATGCTGATATTTGCCTTGCGACCATCCTGCTTTATCGCAATGCCAGCATTTCTTTGAATTATAGGGGGTTTTACCTGGCATTTGTCTGGCATCATGTTTCATTACAGCAAACATTTTTTAAGTCTTCCTGTCTTTCTATTTGTCTCTTTCTATCTTTCTCTTCCTCTTTCAGCTTGTCTCTTTGATCATAGACAAAGTTAGCAATTCTGCGCAACTCTGCTATGTCTAAAGTTGGTCAGTTAGAGACAAAGCGGTGGAAATGTTCTTTAATATCTAAGGTGGACTGATCCACGAAGGCTGAAGCTAAAATCCTTTGGTCCTTCAGGCAGCTAAGGTCTAGATGGGCATATGTAGTAGCTGCTTCTGACAGGCGGACCCAAAAGGCATCAGGGTTTTCCTTTTCCCTTTGTGTTTTTTTTTTTTTTTTTGAAATTCAGACTAGTTTAAAGGTGTTTTTTTTTCTTATTTCCTCTAGAGCTTCTAGTAAATTATCTTTTGCTCTAGTGTTCATCCCATTGATTGGTATCATTGTAGTCCTGGTCAGGGTGATGTACTGGCCATGTGATGTGGGCTGGGGCTGCCTGATCAGGGATAGTTGGTAGTTTGGCTATTTGGTCTGTTTTGTTTTGTTTTTCAAACAGTTTTAATAGTTCGTCTTTCATTAGAAAGACTTGTAACAGCTGAGTCATGTTACCCCAGGATGGATTATGGCTGTCTATGATAGATTTCAGGGTTTTAATAACTGTTTGAGGATCAGCCCTGAAGGTTGGGGTATCTTTTTTCCAGATGACTAGGTCAGAGGCAGAGAAGGAGGTGTGGGTAAAACATATTCTAGTTGTCCCCTATTTCTGCCTGGCACTGGCTTGCTTAAAAGGGGAGCCATAATCCGTGCCTCAGTATTCCCTTCCCTGAAATGGGTTTCGGGCTTTTCCTTATTTTATTTTATTTTTCTCGGTCAGGTCTTTGGTCCTAACAATTTCAGCCCAGCAGTACCAATAGGGTATTTGGCTGGGCTTAATGCATGTTCTAAGTGCTTTCAGGGTTTTATAATCTAAAGTACCGCTATCAGGCCAAATTTGTCTACCCGTGTCATCTCGCAATAAAGCCCCTTTTTTTTCCCAAATTCTTTTTGCATCTTTTTTATTCATTCCAGGCAGGACAGGCACTAGCCTTTCGTCCCAAGCCTCAAGTAATTTATCTAAGGGGGTCTCTTCCATTGCCCTCGAGCTACAACTTCCCATATTCCCTACCTGATGTGGGGATTACTTTGGTTTAGCCGGGCTACCGCCGTCAGTTTTCAGACAAAAAAGGTCTGGAAAGGACTCCGGTTTCCCTACACATGGAGTACGGGCCCCTTTCTCGTAGGGAAACTCTGCCGTCAGTTTTAAGACCCCCCCTAAAAAACGGGGATCTTGGAGGACCGTCTGCCCCCTAGCAGCCCGGTACGGGCCCCTCCTCACACTCCGCCGTCAGTTTTCAGATCTCCCTTAAAGGTGGGGATCTGGAAGGACCTGCTCTGCTTTGTAAGGCAAACTATTTCCAATTTTGTTTGCCAGCAGCCGGTACGGGCCCCTTCTAACTGCATAGGGCTTTGCTTGCGAGATGCACCAGGACTATTTTTTCTGCTTTCTATTTATTTCCCAACACCAGTTCCTTTCTCAGCCCACTCGGTTTTTCTTACGTCCTTCAGAAGGACTCACACTCTGTGATCACCCCTTGCGTTCCCAAATCCAGCCGGTCACGGCTCGTGTTTGAGCTAGCAGCTGGCTGGGGTGCGGCTAGCAATCACAGAGGAGGTGAGGTCCCACTGTTTCTGCAGAGAAAACCCACAATCACACACCTGGTACACTCACGCTTCCACTCCCCTCCCTAGTAAGATTATAAATTTGAAGCGGTACTCACCTGCTTTCAAGCAGCTGTTGAGCAGAAAAGCCCAAGGACTCCCTTTACTACCCTTATGCCTTCCGGGCTGGGTCCGTGGATGTTGTCCCTGGACAAAGAAGGTCCATGCCGGCTGGGTTTGGATCCGCGGGCCCGGTCCGTTGGCAGGGTTGGCTGGAAAACCTTCATGGTCGCCAATTGTTGAAAGGCTGGAAAATGCCTTTCTTCTGAGGGTTCAGTTTTCCTGCTGGGAGCACTCCAGTGCAAGGATTCAGACAACTACTTGGAAGCCGGTTCTTTTTATTTTTCAGGAAGGCGAGAGATAGCAAGAACTCTGCGTTCCTGGAGCTAGCTCTCTTTGTATAATAAAAACCCTGATTTTTATACTTTTTTTCTCCTTTTGTGTGTGAGTGCTTGTGTTTGTATTTCTTAATGTTTTAAATCCTGTCAGGGGTTGTCTTCATTTCCGCCGGAGGGTAAACTCCGTGGGGTGCAGAAGGCAAACTTTGCAGGGTGGTTTGATTGGATTATCAGTTTCCTAATGTTTTCTTGTGGCAATCTCCTGTCTGTCTCCTTTGCAATATATTTTGTGTCTTCTGTCTGTTTGTTTAGCTGATTTGGCATGTCTTGTGTTTGTAAGGGTTTTCTTTTCTTGTTTCCTTAGTTTTCTTAATTATTTGGGCTTTTGTCTAAGGGGCTTCTTTAATACCTTTTATTAAATCTCTTTTCCTATGCAAGTTTGTTTTATGGCTGGCCTGATGTTCCCTTTGGGCTTTTCCTGCTTGGGTGTCACTACTGTCCTCATGAAGTTCCCTTTCCACAGCTATAATCCACTTTATACCAAATTATTATACATCTCCATTGCATTCTATCTGGTTCATTACATTCATATACTATATTTTTAAACATTTACTTTTTTTTCACTAAACATCCATCTTTTTCTTCTAAGATTCTCAACATCCCCACTCAACTAAAACTCTCAATTTTCCTTTATCGCTTTAGTCCTTTCTTTTTGAGTAATATTTTTCCTCTTCCTTCAAATTTGGCCATTTTCTTCAAATTGAGCAGGAAGTGAGTAAATCAGTGCAAGGCCATTCCAAAGGAATTGCACAGAAAGCAACATTTGTGTAATATTATGAATTGATCATCTTTTTAAAAGTTAGCAGTACTTTGGTTTGTGGGGTCTTTTATTACTGCAGTCATTTAGGCTTTCAATTTCTCAATCTGCCAGATAATAAGTTTGAATTTTTGTAATTAGCATCATACTTTTGTTTTCATACTAAGGGCTGAAATCTCTCTCTCTCTCTCTTTCTCTCTCTCCCTCCCTCCCTCTCCCTCTCCCTCTCCCTCCCTCTCTCCCTCCCTCCCTCCCTCTGCCTCTCTGCCTCTCTTTCTCTCTCCCCCCCTCTGTGTTTTCACCATCCTTCTATATTCCCCTATGGAATAGTTCCTTTTATGAATACATTCACACCAAATTGAATGATAAATTTGATTATTCCAAAGGTGCTTTTTCAAAAGGCAACTGGACTTTCGGTTTCCTTGAAGATGTTTCGCTTCTCATCCAATAATTTTCTTCATTTCTGACTGAATGGTGCAGGATGGGAGGATTTATATTTCTTGCAGTCACTTAGTCGTTAAATCCTTTCATTCTCGACATCATCACTGTGGAATTGTATATTTGGAGAGCGGGGTGGGTGTGTTCTAAAATGAAAATTAGTTGACTTGCTAGAATTCTTACACCTCTACCCTTTGTTTTATTAAAGAGAATGGAATAATGTAGTTCTAACTCTATTTTTATTCTAATTTATAGATGGGATAGAAGGTAAACTCATCAAATTTGAAGATGATACCACATTGGGGGGGGGGGATAGCCAATACATTAGAAGATAGGCTCAAGATGCAGAAGGATCTTGACAGACTTGAGCATTGGGCCTTGTCCAATAAGATGTAGTTCACAGGTGAGAAACATTAGGTCCTGCACCTAGTCAAAAAAAAAAAACCAGATGCATAAGTATAGAAAAGATGGTGCCTGGCTCAAAAGTAGTGCTTGTGAGAGGGGTCTAAGTGTTCTAGTTGATCACCTCTTAAGTATGAGATAGTGTGTGCTGCAGCTGCCAAAAAGCCAGTGCAGTTCTAGGTTGCATCAACACAAGGATAGCATACTAGCAACAATCAATATAAATCGTAAGGATACAAGCGACAAAGGTACAGTGGGAAGGGATGGGTGATGAGTGACGAGAAGATTAATAGTAATACCGTGTTTCTCATATAATAAGGCTGGGTCTTTTTTTTTTTTGAGCCCCGAAAAAATGCTTCGGCTGTCTTTTCGGGGGTGACTTAATTCCCCCCCTTGCATCTTCGGGCAGGCGGCAACGGCTTGGATGTTGACCTCGGCGTTGGTGGGGCACTTCGTATCGGGGTCAACGCAGGCAGCACCATATCCAGGTGTGCAACAAAAGTACTACCTAACGGCAAGCCCCCCCACCATTCCCCCCCATTTCGCATGTTTTAATATAGGCCTTAATTTGGGGGGAGGGGCTTAATTTCATTTCATGCCTATAAAACATGCTGGGACTTCCTATTGGGGGAGGCCGTATTGTTGGAGAAACAGGGTAGTAGTGCAGACTTTGTAAATAGTTGGACAGTGTTGAGGGAATTATTTGTTTAGCAAATAATTAGATAATAATTTAGAATCTTATAAAATGGCAATATGCCAGAAGGGTTTGGTACTCCCACCTGAAATCCAGAGACATATTTTGCAAGAACTAGATTTTGCAAGAACTAGAACTGTTTTTTTTTAAACATGAATGTCATCAAGAATCATTTATCTCTATCTGATAATGTCTTCAGGAATTGCTTTCTCCAATGGCCACACCTGGAAACAGCAGCGACACATTGGCATCACTGCTCTGTGGAAGCTGGGCCTGGGGAAGAAAAGCATTGAGCATCAAATAGAAGATGGAGCTCAGACATTGGTGGAGATATTTAGACAGACAAAGGGTATGTAATTTTGGGTAATGGCTCAGGTCTCTGTCTGCAGAATTTTTTTCCCATTCTGTGTATTTCAAAAAAGAACATATGTCTTTGATTTTTTAAAACTTTTTGAAACATTTGGCAGAGTTCCCAATTCTCTTCCTTCATCCTCTTACAAGCTCTGTTCCTTAAAAATTCATTATAAAATACCTTCATTTCCAGGGCAGCCATTTGACCCATCACTTCCAGTAATAAATGCAGTTTCTAATGTCATCTGTGCTTTGAGTTTTGGACATCAGTTTGCTCCTGACGATGAAAACTTCCAGAAGTTAATTAAAGCCCTCGAAACTCTTGTGAAATTCACTGGTAGCGTTTTTCATGCGGTGAGTCATGTTTTATATTTAAGCTCCCCCCAAACCTATGTTTCTATTAATAATGTCATGTAAACATGAATGGAATCCATGAAGGAAGCATTGGAAATCATCTATTGCATGGTACTATTATTCCCAGTAGTGTGTCTGTCCTGGAATCAGTCTTGACTCAAGGCAAAAGCCTGGAGAAGTTTTTGCAGTCCAGGTTTTGGAAGCGGTTGGCCATTGCCTACTTCCTAGGGCTGAGAGAGAGGGACTTGTCCACTGTCACCCAGTTGACTTAGTGCTTGCGTTAGGACTAGTATTCACAATATCTCAGTTACTAGATTGGTGCATTAACCACTACAGCAAAGTGGTCCTGCCCATGAAAAAAATCCATCATTTCAATATCACCACTGGATGACTGCCCACCCCATGTTTAAACTGTGACTCTAGAAAGAATGCCGAAAAGAGAACTAGAATCTGTTCTCCAAAGCACCTGAAGGCAAGAAAAGAAGCAATGGAATGGAAACTAATCAAGGAGAGAACCTATCTAGAGTTAAGAAGAAATTTCCTGAAAGGGAGAACATGCGGAATTGCTTGCCTTCAGATGTTATGGGTGTTCCATCACAGGGTAATTTTAAGTGATTGGACAGCCATTGTTTGAAATGATATATATAGTCTCCTGCTTGAACAGGGGGTTGGATTAGAAGACCTACAAGGTCCCTTCCAACTCTGTTGTTCTGTTATGAAAAGCTAGCAGATTGAAAATCTAACCCATTTAGTTAATATATGATTTAGCTTGGCATGTGAATCCAGTTGATCTAATTTTTTTGAATCCTGGCTTAGTTAGCCAAGGGTAAACATATTTACAAAGTCTCTTAGAGACAATGAGAAAATAAGAGAAATTTATAAAAGCTTTATAATAATCAATCTGCCTTTATCATTCTTTTCTACAAGAATTCAGGAACGGCTTTTCTAGAAGATTTTTGAGATCTGCCACCATGTATGGTGCCATGTTTTAATGTGCTTGCAATGTTTTTCTTTGTTTATTAAGTGTGGTCTATTACTGTGAGCTGCTTAGAGTCTTCTTTAGTTGTAGTGGAGAAATAAATAATCTTTTCCTTTTCCATTTCTATTAGTTGTTTCTTGCGTTCCCACGATTAATGAGCTACCTCCCAGGCCTTCACAAGGAGGCCTTGGCTTCCATGGAGGAGATCATTTCCTTTGCAAAGCAGGAAATAGAAAAGCACAAGAAATCCAGCGCTCTGCATGAGCCACAAGATTTCATTGATTACTATCTTCTTCAGATTGACAAGGTATAAAGATAAACAAGGAATTATTATATTCCTTGCCATAACCAAACAGGACGGGCTACTGAAATTGTCTTCAGTGGATTTTTCTTTCTTTTTCATTCAACTCCTATTCTGAATTTACCCCATGTTAATACTTCTAAATAAGAGTTATATTGTACTTCTGCAGTCTTTTTTATTATTAAGGTTTTATTTTATTATATAAAATACAAGGAAGAGAAGAAAAAAATAGGAAATTAAGAGATGCAAGGGAGCGGGGGAAAGGGGGTGTGAGACACGGGGGAAAGAGAAAAAGGAAGAAAAGGGGCATTGACTTCCAACTCTTCATAGCACACTACAAGGTAAACACACTCCAGCCTCCACTTTTTGCTTTTACACATTAATATATACCGTATTTATCGGCGTATAACACGCACTTTTTTCCCCCTGAAAATAGGGGGCAAATGATGTATGCGTGTTATACGCCGATATAATGTTAAGAAGCCTTCGGTGAATGCTGCTGGGATCGGGGATCAAGGACACAAATGAAAGAAGGGGAGGGAGGAAGCAACCGAAGCCTGTCCTTCTCTCTGGGTCAGCTCTCTCAGTCGCTCTCTCGCTCCTCCACCAGCACAGGAAGAAACTGCTTCAAAGAAGCGGGGGGGGGGGCTTTTCCTGTCGCCTTTCTCCCCCACCCCGTCCGCCCGCCCGCAGTGCTCCGTTCTGCCTGCCTGCCTGCCTTCGTTAATGGTTGAATCGGAACAGCTTCGGCTGAGTAAAAGAGGCGAATAGTTATTATTCTCAGCCGAAGCTGCTCCCAAACAACCAGAAACTAAGGCAGGCAGGCAGGCAGGCAGAATGGGACACTGTGGATTGAAGCGCGCGCGTGGGGTGGGAGTGGGGGTGAAATTTCCCTCTTAAAATGAAGATGCGTGTTATACGCCTGTGCGTGTTATACGCCGATAAATACGGTAACTAGCCATTCCTATAATACCAAATCCTTCTAATCAACAAAACCAAAGTCAAAGTTTCGTCTTTTTTTTCTTCACAAGTACAAATTCCAGAAGTGATATCCAAATAAAAACATATTTTCCTTTTTGAATAAAATAACCCCTTTAACTACTCCTGCTTTATCTTTCTTGCTATGGAAATAATGCATATTTCTATTTGTACCTACATGTTTTCAGAAAATAAGCCCTACTCAGAAAATAAGCCCTAGCTTGATTTTTACACATGCTCCCAAAACAACCTCTAGTTAAGACCCCACCCACTCTGATGCACCTGGTTGGGTGGGGCGAGGTGCACAGACAAAAATCAAACTAGGGTGGGGATGGGGGGGATGGAGCTGCTTACCTTTGGACAGTTGCAGCTGGGCCTTGCACACCCTGTCACCTGAGTTGCCTTGCAGCTGCTTGTGCATGTTGCCCCTGGCCTCCGATTCTCTGACAGAGGCCTTCAGGAAAGAAATGATCTCTGGATTGATGTTTGTGGCATGCCCCCCACCTCAATTTTGCCATCAGAAGTGATGTCAGATCTCGTTTCCCAGCTGCAGAGGCCTTTCATGAAGGCCTCTGATGATGAAACGGAAGCTGGGGGATGATGCATGTGAGCGGTGGCAAGTGGCCGCAGGAGCAGTGGATGGGAGTGGCCACACAGGCTCTTGCTTCGTGGGTCTGTTGGTGCTGCCAATAGGTGAGACAGTGAAAGACTTCCCGTGAAAATATGACCTGCTGCCTTTTTTGGCGGTGGGGATCGGAACAGGTGGAAAATGGGGCACATGGAGGCTGAAAACAGGGTGCGTGGAGGCCAAAAATGGGATGCAGATCCTAAAAATGGGGTGCACAGTGGCGGCAACTGGCGATGTCAATCCCTGCAGCCTGAAACAGCTGATTGTCAAGAGGCCGATCCAACCGACAATCAGCTGCTTGTGCTAATCAGGCTGTGCTGAAGCTGAAACAGGCTGTTTGCTGTTTGCTGCAAGGAGGCAAATTGTTGGGAGGCAGAGGCCGAAGGGTGGGGGCCGGTGGGTGGGCGGGGCTTCGACAACATTCACTGTATAACATGCACAGACATTTACACCCACTTTTGGGGGTGGAAAAAGTGTGTCTGATACTCCGAAAAATACGGTAATATATGCCAGTTGCCAAGCACCTGAATTTTGATCACATGACTGTAGGGATGCTGTAATGGTATGAAAACCGTTTTGTAACTCACTTTTTTCAGTGCCATGGAAACTTTGAATGATCACCAAATGATAGTAAGTTGAGGATTACCCTTTTTTTAAAAATTGCATAAATTATCCTGGTGTGGCATAATAGCCACAAAAACTGATAATTAAAGCAGTCATATGCATCACTTTGAGCATAGCTAAGACAGTGTCTTAATGTGAATCTACCAGTTGAAGTATTACTTTCCTGCACTGATATTCCTACATAACCACCAGGAATGTATTTATTCTCTAGACTTGAGATACAGAGATAAAAAATAACTACAGAAATCTGCATAGAATTCATTGTAATTTTCATTTTCCATTTTAAACATCAGAGCAGGAATGACCCCAAATCTACCTACGGAGAAGAGAACCTGGCTCTATGTATTTTTGATTTTTTTGCTGCTGGAACAGAGACAACCATGCTTACTCTGATGTGGGCACTTCTCCTTTTGACCAATCATCCTAACATCCAAGGTGAGACAGACATGGCTAGTGCAACCTAGTGCAACAAAAGTTACTCCAGGTTTTAAAATTCACAGAACTTATTTTAAACCTATTCTTTGTAATAATTTCCAATGTAGATTCTTGATTCTATAAGCAGGAGTATGAATTTAGCAGGATTAAAGGAAAACAAAGAACGTACGTACAGAAAGGCTACCATATGCTAAATAAATAAACAGACAGCCTCCTTTGAATCCTCAATAAAATATTCAGTGAGGAACTAGAAACTGGAAATCCGTGCAAATCAGGTCAGATTTCATGCTTTCAATGCAGAAATCTATCAAGCGAGGGCTGGAAAGGGCAGAACCAAACTAGGGCCCTTGTCTGCAGCATTGAGGGACATATCCAGGATGAGTGTAATGGATCCTTCTGCAGACCCCTCTCTGGATGTGAATTCAGAGGAGGAAGAGGAGGATGAGCCAGGTCCTGATAGTTTGGGGAAAGAGAGCATGGAAGCACCAGAGAGAGATGGATTGGAGAGCGCAGGGTTCCAGCCTGACAAGGCAGCCACAGCCAGGACTATTGGATGGGTGACAGGCTGAGATAGAGCTGAGGGAGCCGCAGCTGTGGCACATGAGCCTGGATGACCCAGACAGGAAGAATGAGCATCTGCCCCAGTGGTGGGATTCAAATTGTTTCACTACATGTGGGCGTGGCTTGGTGGGCATGGCAAGGGAAGGGAAATAGGTAGTATTTGCCGGTTCTCTGAACTACTCGAAATTTCCACTACCGGTTGAATACCACCTCTGATCTGCCCACAGTCAAGTGAGGATAAGGAGGTGGAGTCCATACCTCCTCCTGATCCAAGGATGTGCATGGAGACAGGCACAATGATGGTTGGCCAGGTTATTAACGATGAAGGAATCTCACCCATTGTGAGGGACTGTACTGGCATTGCCTATTTAATCCTGCCCAAAGTAATGGGTGTTTCCCGAACAATGTGTCCAGGTTCTTACCTCCTGTTCTTTGTCACTTGATTTGTAACCTTGGGTATGGATTTAGAACTGGATTTGGACTTTTTTTGGCATTTCTTGGACTGAATCTTGTTGGGATTTTGTCTCATGCTGAGCTTGGTAATTGACGTTTGGTTTACCCCTAAAACTGGGATTTTGAATAATAACCTTTGAACTTTCCATTGTGAACATGTGTGCATGGGAGGGGTAGCACAATGAGGGTTTGGTAGCAGGTAGTGAGCCAACTCTGAGTCTAACCTAGTACCAGTCAGAAGACATTACCAGTCTGGAGGTCAAGGTGGAGAGTGTTTGCTAAGGCCAAAAGGCTAGTGGAGGTATACTGAAGAGCCAGCTTGGTGTCGGAGCTGCAGTCCTGAAGAATGACAAGCAGGGGAACTTCCGGTTGTCGGCTTCGCGAGCGGCAGGGATTTGCGAAGCTGCGCGATCCCTGCCGCGCTAGCCGCTTTTGGGGCTCCGACCCAGACGGGTACGGAGCTAGGCTGCCCTGCAGGGGCAGCTGAAGGTAGGGGGGATCCGGAGAGGGGTTTGGGGGTGTTGCAGACCCCCTCCCCGGCCGGTAGAACCCCCTTTTCCCAGGACGGTGCAGCGGCGGTCCGTAATGGCCGCCACAAAGAAGCTGGCAGCCGGGTAAGAATGCGCAGGAGGAAGTGGAGAAAGTGCTTGTGAGGAGAAAGTTTTTCTTGGCTCCTAGGACTCTAAGACATATTTAATAAAATTCCTGAAAAGTATGACTTTCTGAATAATACCTGCCAGAAGAGGAAAAAAGCGGCAGTTTGATGGTGCTGAAAGGATAGCTTTCCCTCTTTTCCTACGGAATAAATAACTGGATATTAAGAAACCTATTTTTTTTAGGTGAAAATTGGTTTTAAGCGATGAGTGGGAAGAGAGAGGATTAAAAAGAAAATATTTGTATGCTAAGACTTTGTTGGAGGAGATGCCTTAAGGATTTGAAGACTAGAATATATTGCAATAAGATTTTAAACAGATTTGGACTTTCTTTCTCTTTGATTGATATTACCCCAGAAGGAGAAAGTGAGAACTCTGCCTTGGTTTGGACTGACTGATAACTTTGGGACTGCTTTATTTTTTTTATTTTTTTTTTTTTGAATATTCTGGTTGTTGTAAGAAGAAAGAAGGGGAAAAGAAAAGAAAAGATTTATAATGGCTTTTTCTGTTGAGGAACTAAGAAAAGAATATGAACAAGCAAAAAAAATGGTAAAGATGGTGTGGAAGAAGCTTTCCTTTTTTTAGAAATGGCGCTTATTAACTATCAACAAACATTACAACAGATGAAGACAGCAGAGGAACAAGAAAGAAAGGAAGGAGCCATTTTTAATGAATCTCAGAATTTGATCAAGAAAGAAGGAAGAGAGAAAAGAAGAGAACTAAAGGACTTAAGATCTAAAAAAACATTTAAGAAAGGGAAAAATAAGGTGCAAAATCAATATGATGATAGTAAACAAAAGGGAAAAGGAATACGACAGAGAAGGGAAGCCAGTAAGGCAGAGGCTAGAAGAAGGGGGGGTAGAAAGGTTTGTTGGGAGAAGAAAGAAAGGGAAAAGGTGGAGAAAAGCTACAACGTTTTGAAATTAAATGAAAAAAAGGAATTTTTTATGGATAATGGATAAAGTATAATTTTTTTAAAAAAAGATTTTGCAAGGTACATAAGATGAGATGGTACCGTGTTTCTCATATAATAAGGCCGGGTCTTATTTTTTTTTGAGCCCCGAAAAAATGGCTAGGCTGTCTTTTCGGGGGTGACTTAATCCCCCCCTCCCCTTGCATCTTCGGGCGGGTGGGCGGCAATGGCTTGGATGTTGACCTCGGCGTTGGTGGGGTACTTCGTATCGGGGTCAACGCAGGCAGCACCATATCCGGGTGTGCCACAAAAGTACTTCCTAACGGCAAGCCCCCCACCACCATTCCCCACCATTTTGCATGTTTTAATATAGGCCTTAATTTGGGGGGAGGGGCTTAATTTCATTTCATGCCTATAAAACATGCTGGGACTTCCTATTGGGGGAGGCCGTATTGTTGGAGAAACAGGGTAGTATTGTAATGGTTTAAGAGTTGATAAGAGATTAAAATGTTAAAATGTTTAATAATGATTGGCTTTAAAATTTAATAATAGGGGAGGTTTAGAATACTGTTTTAATTAAAGAGTTTAATAAGATTATGGTATTGATGTTATTATAAAATTTTTATTATAGTATTTGTTTTTAATATTTGGATTTATTGTCTAATTATGTATTTAATTATTTTGGATGTACTAGTTAGATAGAATGTACCAAGCAAAATCGGATTGGGTATTGGATGTTATCTTAAAGGTTAATTTGATTAACTTAGGGGGGAGATAGAAAGGCATCATACTCTGATTAATGATTTCAGGAGAAACTTATTTTTTTCTTTTTTATAAGGAATGAGACAAAGGGATGATAAAAAATGGACAAAAGATACAAATATAATGATTCAAACTAAGATGATTAATTAAGATAGAATTAAGAAGGGTGAAATATGTGGAGAAGTTAATATAGAAGGCTTAGAATGGTAAATAAAATAAGTAATGATATGTAAGATGAGCATGAATATAATTGAAGTCCATGAAGAGAGAGATACCTGGGTCCAAGTTACTTTCCAAAAAGATTTTTTTTATGTTTTGTGTGTTGTGTGTATATGTTTTTTTGGGGGGGGAGAATTAGTAAAAACTTGCAGAAATATAGAATGAGAATAATGGTAACTAAGTCAGAAAGAAATAGATGAAATAATAATAATGATATTGAATAAGAGTAAAGAGAAGTAAAGAGAAATTGAATAAGAGGTTTTTGTATGTTATATGGAAATGGTTTAAAACAGAATCATAATTTATCTGACTTGTTAAATTTACAATGAAAAAAGGTTTAAACATGTAATGAATAATGATAATTTGTGTGTTTTAAAAATTAATAAAACTTGTTTAAAAAAAAAAAAAAGAATGACAAGCAGGGACTGGAAGCCAAAACTGATCAAGAAAGTCAATAGGGACCCTGGCAGTGAAGTACATGGCTGGGATCAAAGACCAGCAGGAAGAGTGCAAATGCCCAGAGATCAGAGATGGATTTGGAGTCCTCAGTCAGGTGGTCTGGTACAAGTAGCAGCATAAAGGTCATTGAGATGGCAATTGGCATTGGAGGTACAAATGGGACTGCAAACGACGTGGAGCCCAGAAGCTGACAATAACTTGAAGAAGGCCAGAACTTTGGTGGAACAGGCTTGAATGAACAAAATAAAGCATCTATTTCCATCATTTTTTCTAGAGAAAGTGCAGAAAGAGATTGAAGATGTGTGTGAATTCTCACGGTCAATTTCCTA